GATAAACATTTGATATTGAATAATAATCTTAAGACAAATATATATATATATATATATATATATATATATATATAATTTTTAAAAAATATAATTTTAAGAATTTTACATTATTCAATTATAATGATTGATTGAAAAAGGAATTTATTTTAGTATAAATAAAAAATATAAAAAATATTTTTATTCAAATAAATTAATTTAATTTATCAAATAAAATATATAAAATAATATTTATATTTTATTAATACAAATATAAGTTTTTATATGGGCGTTTGCAAGGTAAGAGAGAGTACTAGTAAATTATACAAATGTTGTTTGGGACGAAGGAATGGAAACAGGATAATCATGATCATGTTGTTATTGGTCTTTCTTTGGAAGATAAATTGCACAGAAATTAATTTTGAGCTAATAAAGTATATAATGTAATTATTTTATAAGATTTAATAGACTATATAACAAAGAAATTAATTATGTTATAAATTTTTTATTTATATTTTTCCTAACAATAATAATAAATAAAATTATTAATACTTAACAATATTAATTTTTTTTTTTTGCTTTGTTTTATTTTACTCCTTGGGTTGGACAGTTGATGAAACTTAGGGGCAAAGGATTGGGAATAATATTGCCGTGGAGAGACAAAACACTGAGATCCTATTGATAAAGTTAAGATTTACGTCCATTTAAACGAATTGAATTTATTTAGAGGTATAAAGAGTTGTTAAAAAAAATTAAGAATAAAAATAAATATTTTATTATTTTTAAATAATTTAATTATTATTATTATTATTTTTAAATAATTTATACTGTTTTCTTTTTTTATTGATCCACGAGAAAAATAAAATAAAATAAAAATATGTTTATTATGATTTTTATATTTATTATATTCTTTAAAATAATATTTTAACTATATATAATATATAATTAATCTATTTAAATTATATATAATATTTTACTTAAAAGTAATTATTAATATTAATATATATATAGTTTATTATTTAAAATATTTTAGAATAAAAAATTTATAAATAAATTTATTATATTCTTTATAAATAAAATATTATATATATATATATATATATATATATATATATTAACTTAATTATTATAACATGTTTTTGACGTGAATATGTCTCTACTCTTAATAATCAATAAAACTTAATATTAATACAGTTGGGCAGTTAAAATCATTAACCCATTTTGTTAAAATTATTTATTATTATAAAATTGTTAAGAGTAATTTTTTTTTTCACTTTTTTTTTAACTCTTTACTTTTGGAAATTTCTTGTCAAATCATCTCCTCCCGGTTCCTTCAACTTGATCTTCACCCATATATAGTCCAATAATTTGAAATTGACATTGTTATGAAACCCAGCACAAATATGAGAATACCACGTAACTCCTTCTTCTTTGCATGAGTGTATTTTCAATTTCAAGTCGGCTTTGTATGATTCATCATTTAAAGGAAAAAAACAAACAAAAGAGGAGAGTTTGAAAAGAGCGAAACACAAGAGAGTGAACGCTTGTGCTAACAGATATAAATTTCAAAACAAAATCAAGTTTTTCAATAAACCAGACAGGGAAAGAAAAAGAAACACGGTACTTTATAGTACAGAGATAAACCAATCCCTCCATTTTATAATTATAGTGTTTACAAACAAACATGGGTTATATATATATATATTTATTGTTGATAGAAAGATGATTAACAAACTTCTTTATTTTCACAATTATGAGTAGTCGGTGTCTTCAAAAGTTTCGTTTGGATATCTGGGTAAGTTCTTGGGTCTAACTAAATAAGGAGATATCGATAAAGATATTCTAACATTGATAGAAAATATCTTTTGCATTAGTTGTTAAGATATAATTAAATTATCTTTTTTATAAAACTTATTAATAATTATAAAAACGTGACTAACTTGTATAACTTAAAGATTTAAATATTAATAAACTGTTTGTTCAACTATTTATTTTGCAATAAATTCTTTAAACAAAATATATATTTTTTTGTTTAAGACATGACTTTTTTTTCTAACCAAATAAGTTTCAATAAAAGTTTAGCCATGACCTATTTTCTAAAAAATCTAGTTTGGTCTGGACCTAGTTAATCCATAGGTTTTGTTTTAGAATGCGGTAGTAAACAAGAAAATATGAGAAAAAAAGAAAAGAAAAAGATGAAATAGAATAAAAGTATTATTATTATTATTATATATATATATATATATATATATATAGAAAAAAATGTTCATTTTAAAAATAATAAATAATTAAATTAAAATTAAATATTTTTTTTACAAAATTATTCATATAATAAAATTAAATATTTTTATAATACAATAATTTTTAAAATTAATACCTATTCATTTAATAATATGTTCTTTTGATATATAATTATACAATATTTTATTATGCAATTATAATTCACAAAATTATTTGAGTTTAAATAACATCATATTAAGAAAAGGATAAACTTTCAAATTTTGACAAACTCCATCTTTTTTTTTGCTTTGTATTAGATTTATCACCTAAAAAAATAATATTTGATATTTTTTAAATCATGAATTAGCATAAATATTTTATTATAATTATTTTAATATGCTATTAAAATTTTAAAATCTAAATTTCATTTCACATTCTAAATTAACAAATTGATTGTATTTGAGTTTTTTTTTACGCGTAGTTACATTTGAGATCTGGACATCAATGTTAACATTTGACTGTTTGGATTCTACCTAATAATAATCAAATCATAAAAACGATTTATTTTAAAATTCAAAAGTTCAATTTATCTTCAAATTTTGAATTCAAAAATTTTAAACAGTGATAATAATTATGATAATTACTACAAGGTATATGTTTTTAATTAGTAACTTTTTTTTAAATGTATGTATTTGTAATTATGATCTAGATTGATCTCATATCACAGTATTATAATTTTGTTTAAGTGTTATTCTTTATTTATTAATAACTTGAGTTTGCATATACTATTTATATACACATTTTATTTTTATTTTTGAAAAATAATGACATTTTTTCCTTACATTTCCATAATATTGATAATAATATGTTATTTGTACAATGGTTTACATTCAACCTAATTAATTATCATAAAAAAAATTAATTTTAAAATTTAAATTTAAAGCAACAATAGTAATTATGATAATTTGTTTCATAATTTATATATATTTAATTAAAAAATTATTAAATTAAAAATTATGAGTTGATTATAGTGATTAAATTATACTAAATATAATAGAACGCAACATCCATGCTTTTGCCTTCACATTTACTAAGTATTTCCCCGTTGAATTAGAATCCGTCACCGAATAAATTAGCACAAGTTGTAAACTGGATGAATGAAGCACAAGGTCACAACAAACAATAATTTTTAGTATTTTGTTTAAGTTTCTTTTGGGTGATATAAATTGACAACTCTAACTTAAGGTTTTCTTTTTTAGCAGCAATGATGATGATAATATTATGATTTTCTTAGACGTATTTTCACTTAGTAAATGTCAACGAGATTTATTCATGGTTTTGGATGTTCTTTTTTATTGGATTTAAACGTTTACGCGTCTTTAAAAATCACTTAAAGACATAAAAAATATATTATTAGTGATTTAAAAATATATTGATTAATAGTTAATAACTTTTATTGAAAGTCTTATATATAAACATGCCCATGTCCATGAATCATGTACTTATATTTTATCTTTTAATCATCAAATATAAGACTACAACATTCTGATATGCTGACCAGTGATTAATATCTATGATTGATTTGAGCGCAATAAGAAAGAGAAAGACAAATATCAAACTAAATTAAAATTGTATTCAATTTTTTGTCTTCTCATTGAAGTGTTTTGTAGGACCAACATAAATCATAACCATTTATTTTTCAAAAATTATCATGTCATGTTTGTTTGTTTGGTGGCAAACAAATATCCTCTGTCAACATGTTTTTCAATCCATTTTGGCAAAACTATAGCAGCAAAGTGACAGATACCAGAGGAAAAATCTTACACTGTTCATCTTAACCATGGGTATCAAACTCGCCAGGTAAGTTCCTGCCTCATAAATTATCAAGTCAAAAATTAGGGTATGAGTTAACTCATAAATATACTTGTTTTTGGAGTAGATTTGAAATTAAACTTGGTGAATACGATAAACTTTGAATAAATTTGTGAGTTAGAGATAAATAATCAAATTTGAAAGAAAACAAAAACTTGTATATTGTGTGACTCTCTTCATTTCTTCTTATAAGTTCAGCTCTTGCTTCTAGTTCAGATCTTGTTTCTTTTCACAATTTGTCATCATCAATGATAATCATCACGTCCTTACCCTTGGTCACGATAATCGTGTGTTGGTCGTGTTTTTCTTGTTGTTGCTACTCGTCGCTCGACTCTCCACTCTTATCGTTGCTCACCATCCCTCCAGATTGAAAGATTTAGGATTTTAGGGTTTTTGAGATAAGCTAAGCTGAGAGGGAAGGAAAGATTTGGGATTTTAGGGTTTGAAATTAATGGAAAGATTTTAAAGATTTAGAATTTTTTTTTAATTTTAATTATATTACTGTATAAATTCAATTAATTTTTTATTTTAATTTTTCAATAACAAGGAATTGATATATTATATTTATTATTAAATTAATATTTTTCGTATTACGAAAACTCTTATAAATGTAGGAGTGGAGTTTCAGAACTCCCACAGATCTACTAGGCTCTCACAAGCCTGATAACTAGTAGACTCTCAAGTCGTTTATGCAAAATGTAAATTCTAAAATGCACACAACATAAACACAGTAGAAAATATTATTAGGTGGTTTATGTAAAACTCATTAGATACGTAAAAAAATTAATAAACTATACTTTCATTATAACCAGCAACATATTTATATCTATAATATACCAGCAAAATATTTATATCTATAATATACCATGAAACCATGATTAGAAGACAAAATTAATATAATCATACGTTGCCGTGAGTTTAGAGTTTAGAGTCTAGATCCTCGGACTCCTCAGAGAAAGATGAACCTGCAGTGCGTTTTTCATTACCACAGTGAATTCTTGTTTCTCTGACAAATCCACTTTCCCTCCGTCTGGAAGCTTCCACTCAAAATTCCAAACCAAATTAGCCACAAAGTACTCCAAATGAAGCAATGCCAAATTATAACCAGGGCAAATCCTCCTCCCTGCACCAAAGGGCATCATCTTGATCTCTTTACTTCCAGTAATATCAAAGCCCTCATCACTTATAAATCTCTCTGGCTTAAACGTCATTGGATCTTCCCATACCTTAGGGTCCCACCCCATCTCTGCCACCATGAAATTCACAGTCGCATTCTTTGGGATCAAGTAATCGTTAAAAATTACGTCCTCAGTCACTGCATGCGGCAACACAAAGTGCCCAGGTGGGTGACGCCTTAAACCCTCCAAAATCACAGCTTTCAGATAAGGCAATTTCTGCAAGTCCTCCTCTTTCACTTCCCTCTGGTCTCTCTCACCCAGTACCTCCCTTATCTCATCCACCAACCTCTCTTGCACATGCGGGTACTTCACCAAATTCGCCATAATCCACTGCAACGCCGTGGAAGTCGTGTCCGTACCCCCGTTCAAAAACTCATTACATAGCGTCACAATCTCCCCTTCGTTGAGGTTGCGTTTCTCCTCCGCCAACTGCAAATTCAACAGAGTATCAACGTACGAAACAACACCTTCCTCCTGCGCTTGCTTTTGCTTCCTGGCTCTTATAAGTGGAATTAGCACGTCCTCTAGCTCCTTGCGAAACCTCAGCAACTCCTGCCAGCGTTTCCGGAGCAAAACTCGCGTGACTTTGTGCCAGAAATTAAGGATGTTGAACCCGCTGAACCTTAGAAGTAACTGACGTTGGACACGCTCGATGTCTCTGATCTTGCCATCATCGAGTCGTTCCCCGAAGCACATGAAGACAAGCAAGCAGAACATGGCGTATTGGAAGTGGTCGATGACTCTGACGGAATAGTTAGACTGGGAGTCGGATTTAAGGTGAGTGAGGAGGGTGTGGAGGACCCATTTGCGGATCCCGGAGAAGGACTTTACGCGGGAGTGGTGGAGCATCTCGGAGGTGAGGTTTCGGCGGAGGGTACGCCACTTGGGGCCGTAGGAGGCAGAGCTGATGTTGCATTGGTCGAGAATTTTGGAGATGGGGAGGGCCTTGGGGCGGTCGGAGAAGAGTGATCCATTTTGGACCAGGGCTTGGTGGGTGAGGCTGCGATCGGCTATGAATATGGTGCGTTGAGATCCGATGCGGAGGGTGACGATGGGGCCGAACTTGGCGTGAAGGGTTCGGAGAATTGACTCGAGTTCGTTGAAGGATTTTCGGACCCATAGGATGGTTGTGATGATTGGGATGTGAAGAGGGCCTGGAGGGATCCTGATGGTTTTGGTGCGAAGGGAGAGTATGGCTCTTAAGATGACACACATACACGCAGAGACGAGGATGATGAACCAGGCTTCCATGGTGGTGCTTCTTGCTTCACCTTTCCACCAGAATGAGTCCACTGTTGTTGTAGATAAGGCCTTCAATGATGAGAACCAAAAACGGTGTGAAGAATATAAAGGAATGAAAATAAGTAAATAAATAAATAATTGATAAATATTTATACTAATGATCATGACATGCTGGGGCCACTGGTAATGACTCATAGTTGACTCCATACCATATTTAATTTGAAAAAATCAATTGAAACCAATAAAAGAAATTTCCAATATAAATTAATTAAGTCAAAAGAAAATAAAATAAAAAATGAGAGAGTTAATATGCCTGGATGATTATAAAATTTAAACTAGATGAAAAAAAAACTAAAACACACATAAATTGAATTTGAATTTTTTTTCATAAGATTTAATATAAATTAATATTGTAAAACAAAATTAATTTTTTTAATTATAAAAAGGTAACAAATAAGATAGATAGTTGTAGACTTACACACTAAGAATCGATTCTTACACCAACCAACTTTTTCTTCGTCGTGCCTAGTCAAAATATATGTCATTTTTCTGGAAGTCTACCAACACTAATGAGGCAATGACGGTACATTTCGTCCTGTTAAAAGTAGAGTTCGACAAGGCGATGTATCAGATGATGCAATGGCGGTACATTTCGTTTTAATGATGCAATAACGGTACATTTCGGTCTTCTAGACGATGTATCAGATTGATGTATTAGAGGATCGGTTCATTATTTCTTTTTTTATATAAATTTTTTATGTGTTTTTTTTTCTCTCTTTAAACCTTAATCAACCGCGTATAGAAGTAATACAATAATATCAATATGTAAATGTCGAATATCACAAGAAAATTTAAAATATGTTCAATGAAAGTAAACAAGATAAAAATATTTTTATAAATAAAACTATATGACATTTCATTTGTAAAAAATAATTAAGAAACAAATAGCACATAAAAAATAACTAAATAAAAATTTACGTATACCTAAACTTACTTTATTGGTCCCTTCATTTATAAGCAAAATATCTCTTATTTAGTTTAAAAAAATGGTGAAAAAATATTTCATTTTTCAATGTGATCTGCGCATGTTTTACTCTTCGCATGTGAAGAAAATGGTAAAAATTTTAACAAAAATTAATACTTTACAAATTATACTCTTTACAATAAAAGCGTTATTTTTTTCGTATATACAATTTAAATTTACGTGGACAACTTTTTATTAACTATGAATATTTGAATATCAGAGGAGATTCAAATCTGTATATTGTTTTTTTAGTATGCTATTTTGATAGAGTGAGATAAATATAAAATGATTTGAAAATCAAATAAGCAATTTGATATATTTTATATTTTTTAATTTGATATTATTTAAAATCAATTATTTTTATAAAAAATAATCTTATGATAAGAAGTATTTTATAATTATGTATGGAATATAGACTATTAAAAAAATAGATATTAATTTGAATGTGTTCATTTAAAAATTATTTCATTCATAAAAAAAAATCAATTGATAATTATATGAATAATTTTATAATACTTAACTTTTTATTTTTTATATCATTTTTTTACACGAAAAAATATTTTTTTTCCATTATACTTTATCTCCTTTTCTTTTTCTTTCCTTGAGCTTTATTTTATTCCAAAAAGAGAATATAGAGAATAAAAATGACTAATAGAAAGAAATAAATAATAGAAAAAAATAAATGAAAGAAAAATATTTTCTTATTTTATATTAATGAAAGAAAGATATTTTTTATTTTATTTTGACCACCTATTTTACTTTTCACTCTATATGAGAGAAAATAAATGTAATTTATATGTGAAATATCATTTTATAAAACTATTTTCTCTCACATAAAATATGATTCATTTTCATATTTATTATTTTAGTTTATATGTATATGAATTTTTAATTATATTTATTCTTTGGTAAAGATAAGATAAATATGAAAGCTATTATAAAAATCAAATAAATAATTTAATATATTTAATAGTTTTCTAATATCATATTATTTTATTAATTTAAACTCAGATATTATTAAAAACAATTGTAATTTTATAATAAAAAGTATCAAATATCTACGTATAAAAGTGTATATTATTAAAAAAATAAGAGCTTAATTTAAAGGTGTTTATTTAAAAATATATTTTATTCATAAGAAATTGATTAATAATTATAGAGATAAATTTAAAATAACTATATAAAATATTTATTTTTTACTATTTTTAAATAAATACTTTATCATTTTTTTATCACTTTTCTCTAAAAGAAATATACAACAACAAAAAAAATATTGTTTTGATGAGACAGAAGTTTTTGGTGAGACAAAGATCTGTCACAATTTGTACCGAGAGCTTTTGTGATGGAAATGTATCGTCTCTAAAATTTTCACCACAAAAAATGTTAAAATTTATTGGAAATGTGTTAGTGATAAATATCTATGGTAAAAATTAGTCATCACCTTGACAAATCATCTTCTCAAAACCATTAAAAATTTTACACTTAAACTCCCTGAAGCAAGTGAAACTCTTGTTCACTTCAAACTACTATGAAAAAGTTGTATTGAAAAGAAGAAAATAGTATTTATGATAGAATTTTATGGTGAATAATTTGTTTCAATGACAATATTTTTGACAATTTTGAAAATAAATGATGTTTGGTTTTACTATTTTTTTCATATATGATAGAAAAATAATAATAATTACAATTTAGATTAAAGAAAACATCATATCTCTTTTACGTTAAATCTAGTAGGTATAAAATAACGAGAGAGTATCCATAAAAGGCTCTCCAATATTTACGTGAGTGAGAGAAGGAGAATGTGAAGTAGAATATAAATGAATGAAATAAAAAAGATACTAAACATGTTTATATAAGAGTGCATTATTATAACTGTCTAAGATGTTAGTGTTTGTAATATATTGAATAAGTCAAGTTAGTTAGTGAGTTTTCTATTTTCTAACATAACATTTCCCGTGTATTCTATATAAACTACATTGATAATGCAATAAATGATAAATACACAGTGCAATTATGAACGAAATTTATGTCCCTTACCTTTCATTCACGTTAGTTTCAATAAAATTGATATCCAGAGCTCAGACAATTTAGGACTAGTGTTTCAGAAATCACGCCTATTTATGGTGGACAAATAGAGTGGTTGAAATGAATAAGTTGGTTGTGTGAAACAATACAGTGCGGTATCAAGAATATGATCTATGACGAAGATTTTATTTACTGATCAAGTAAAAGTGGGTGAAGAATTATTGATGGTGATAATCACATTCCTTCTATGAATCTTCCAATTCTCATAGAGAAAAATTGGGATCTATGGAGTACACAAATGTGGGTATTGTTCAAGTTCCTGGATGTGAGTGATATAGTTGAAAGTGGTTATCAGGTACTTACTTTCGGTACTACAGATGCGCAGAAGGTTGTGGCCAAGAAGAATGATAACAAGACATTGCTTATCATTTATCAATGTGTTGATGATGTTCATTTTGAGAAGATTCATAATGCAACAACTACTAATGAAGCCTGAGACATCTTGGTTCAAAGTCATGCAGGAGGTGAGAAAATCAAGAAAGTGAAGCTCCAAACCCTTAGGAGGCAATATGAGTTACTATAGATGGAGGATAGTGATAGAATCATTGAGTATTTCACCAAAGTTAAAGGGGCTGGAGATGTTGTTATTTTGAGGAAGAATGGTTCACAGGCAGTGATCTCTAATGTATTGTTTGTTCCTAAAACGAAGTGCATTCTTCTGAGCATTGGCCAATTGGTGCAGAAAGGATTTACAACAATTATGGGAAATTATGACAAGATTGAATTGTTTGATGTCAACAAAAATCTGATCTTGAGAAGTAAGTTCTCTAAGAACAAAATGTTCCAAGTTAACATGAACGTTACTGATGTACAATGTTTGTCTGCTGTGAAGAGTGTTGATAGTTTTTTATGACACTTAAGATATGACCACTTAAACTTCAAGAGTCTACAACAACTTGGTATGAAGAATATGACTTTTGAAATGCCCAATATTACATTGTCAAAGAGTGTGTGAGGTCTGTTTGGCTAGAAATCAAACCAGAAAAATAGTCCAAGCACATTTAAGCATGAGATCCAAAGACTATTTAAAATTTGTGTACTCTGATATATATATGGACCTTTTGAGGTTCCTTCACTAGCTAAAAATATATATTTTATCACCTTTATGGATGAGTTTAGTAGGATGATATGGTTGTATGTAATCAGATTGAAGGGAGAAACATTTGAGACTTTCTTGAGAATCAAGGAATATGTAGAGAGGGAGAGTGGAAAACAATTGAAGACTCTAAGAACATATGGAGGAGGTGAATTCACCTCTAATGTCTTTGAGAATTACTGTGAGACTAGAGACATTGTGCATGAAGTCATTGTACCATATATACCTCAGCATAATAGCCTTACGGAGACAAGAAATAGGACAATTTTAAATATGACTAGAAGTTTAATAAAGGAAAAAGGCTTGGCACAAAAATTTTGGGTGAAGCAGTATCAATAGTTGTTTATATCCTAAATAGATGTCCTATTGATGTAGAATTTCTAGGAAGAGGAAGAACTTCGAAGAAGTCGAGTGATAGGGACATCAATGAAATAGAATGACATCCGAATTTTCATTGATATTGGAATGAAGATACAGAGAAGAATTCTTAGGGAATTTGTGTTAGGTAAACATTAAATGCATGTAGTAGAGAGGTAGTGGTTATAGAGGTAGTAGTTGAGAGGTAGTTGTTGTATTGAATGTATGTAGTTGAAAGGTAGTAGTTGTATTAAATGCATGTAGTTGAGAGACCATATCCAAAGGGCCTATAAATTGACCATGCATCACTCATTGCAAACATATCAAGTGATAATATACAGAGTGCTTTATTTAGATACTTGTTTGTCTACAAATTGGCATCAGAGCTTGAGAGTCTGAGTGTCTGAGTGCGTTAGAGAGAGTGTTTGAGAGTTAGAGAGTTTGTTT